ACAAAAGTACTGTCAATTTTTGAGGAGTAAATTTAAATATGGCACATATTTTAAAGGGAAACAGAAAAGTAACTCATCGCAAGTATATGGCCAAGCTCGAAGTGTGTGATTACAAAGAACGAAGCATGTTTACATTCTGTTCATCCGGTGTAGGCACGCGGCAGCGCGACTCGTGGATCCGTTTTTCCTTCGACTCAAAATCCATGCGTATACACTGACATTGAAAAGCCCGAGATCTCATCTTCGATGAAATTCAGCTTTCTCTCATTCGGAAATATCCTTTCAGCTAGTACGTATACACCCGCGAGCGCGCAGGCTTTATATTTATTATACGTTCGAAGATGTATCGAAGATCATCAAGCAAATCCTTTTCACATATAAATGTGTTTCACGAAATTCCTCCAGCGCAGCAAGTGTTCCTGTACTTTTTGTGTATATGCCATATAGTCTCACTTTACACGTGCTTCACTTGATAGATACACTTTCTTCAGCATGACTCAGGGTACAGGTATAATATGCACATTCGTGTGTTACCTGTTCGCTCGATCAGTTACTCATACAATAAACTCGATGAGCATAGCGAGATGAGGTACGAGTAAGGTGTACAAGAGCTCAGGTATTTCGATAGATGCATTATAATTCCACGGATTAGAAAATGTTATAGTAAAAACTCTCGATGAATTATTACAGGTGAGAGTACAGGTAAGCGATACGTAATTAACGAATTGTTATTGCAAGAAATTTTCCACATGCTACGTTGAGATGAGTGATTTTTCACGCGTGTATAAGAGCTGTTCAAGAGAGCTCAACAGCCTGACACGCTGAAATGGGCACGCTCCTGCAAAGAGATTTGAAACTGATCGATGCTTCGCTTATTAAGGCCATTCGGTGGCAGCTTCTTAAATACAGAAGGTGTCGAGCCAGACACCTATTATTATTATTATTATCACTTATTCCATTCGGATCTCACGAAACGTGAACATCGCAGGTAACCCAGTAGAAGAAAAAAAAGAGAAAGAAACAGATAACTGAATGAAAATTATAAAAGGCAGACACTTAATCCCGAAAAAAATGTACGATTTAGCTTGGAAAAAGATTCTCTTCGGCAGCAACGATGATTCGTGTATTATACATACAGGTATATAAAAAAAAACTGAGAACGAGCCCGCATATTCATAGGATGCACGAAAAAGTTAAATCATCACTTCTCTTGGTGTAGCACGCGATGAAAAACCGGCTGGCGCACACGCACACGCCTACAATTTTCGGATTATCAGGGCAGGCTAAGCGAAAGTGAGAGAGAGAGAGAGAAAAAAATAGTAGCATGGGGAAAAGGAAGGAAACAAAGAGCCCTACAAAACTTTATATAATGCGTTACGCATTGCTACGTAATAATATGTATTGACAGAGAGAAAAGAGAAAAATCGTGCGGGTGAAAAGGCGAAAATGTCTCGTCTCCGAGTTCAAACTACTGGAAATGTGTGTGTGATTATTGCTCTTGTGCAAAGCATCTGTTGGCGGGTGTGTGTGTGTGTGTGTGTGTGTGTGTGTCTGTGTGTGTTGGCCAAATCTGTCACTAGGATTGTCTGCTCATGCTCTAGTCCTTGGCGCACAATAGTCCCAGATTCCCCGCTGCGAAAAAAAAGAGACAGAGACAGAGATGTGTACGCGCGATGATCATCCCCATCGGTATCTTTTCTCTCTTTTATTGGTGCGCGTGTGCGACGATGATGATACGTACAGCGGCAGATGAAGATGCAGACGGCCGTCGACGCGAATGTAATGTCTCTTTTTCTTTCTCTCTCTCTGCATGCGTATTTGTATGTACTTGCCCCGAACGAGAGGTGAGACCGCAGAACAGAGATCTTCCTTTTGTGCTCGCTCGATTTTGTGATGCCGACTGCAACTAGCACAGTAGTAGCGCGTTTTTATCGCGCCTCTTTCATTGTCCGTGTCGGTGTACACAGGGACGCAAGGACACGCTGAGATACGCCACACAATGGGACCATCTTGTGGAGTGATTTATTTATACATATTGTACACGCATAGATGGATGCTTCAAATCGAGTACTCTCCTCCTTGTTACTCGAGACCAGTATCTCGATTATTGAAAAGTCGAGATTTATCGCTTTTTCGCACTTTCGCCTATGCGCCGCGATTCTTTGATCGTTTCGGCCTCCAACCTGGCCTGTTGATAGCTATGAATAATGATTTGTAAAAAAATATATTAACCCTGATAGAGTCTTTCCAATTTTTGGTAAATTTTTTCCCCTAACTATTTATGAATTTCTTGGAATTTAATTTAGAAGAAAAATAATGTTATTTCGATTAATATTTCCGGTTTCCGATCAAAAAAAGAGTTGCACCAAGCTACTGTGTTTATAAATACTCAAAAAAGATTCTTCAAAGAACGCCGTTCGACAATATGTATTACATCAAATAATACACAATACGTGATTAGTATGTGGTCATAATGCTAATCGATGTTCTTTGAGAGCAACTTAATTTACATACTAGAATTAGAAAGTCTACCAAAATTGTATCATTAGAAAGGCGCTTTAAGTTTCAATGGGTGTTCTGTAACCGATGCTGGCTCGTGCGCTCCATTACTCACACATTATTTCCGTTTTCTAATTGACTTTGTTTCAACTTGATCAATCGTCACCTAATTAATCCAGAGCATTCATGATCTTTAAAATCCAGATTCTAGAATTTGAACGCCACAATGAAGGCGCGTGGCATCCATTCACGAGCATTTCAAATCGATTCGGTATTTAAATAGTGAGCTACCTGCAGATCTTATTCACCTGTTGCCACGAGTAGCAGCAGCAGCACGCGCGCCAACAATCACGAGAGTTAAATTTTTTTTTTATAGGTAAGGGCTCGATAGCTCGCAGTTTATAGCGCATACATAAACACCGATTCGCTGGGGATTATTTCGGGATACTTTTCTAGCGGCTCGATCCCTTCGTCAAAATTTGCTTACACCTATGCTGCTGCGGGTTGGTGCACACGCGCGTACGTAGGCATTGTATACAATATATACCTTCGGTTACGTACGCAGAGGTATTTTGCCTGCGCGCATACGAGATCTCGTGCTTATACTATTACGGCGCGCAGCACACGCTTTTCATTTTTAAGCGAGTTGGTGCGTGCGAGGGTTTACTTTACATACGCGCACGCGCTCAAATGTGTATAGACTGGCGTATCAATTTTTTTTTATCTGGCGCGCGTGAAAACTTTCGACAGGTTTTGAGTTGATGGATTATTATATTCACGCAGGTTGAAGCTCATTCGGGTGCGTGAATGGTGCGCGTGCCTGCACGTTTTATAATTGTATTACGATATACATTATGTTATGTGCGTACATATACATTGTCGCGTTTTTACACCACGCATTGAAAGAGTACGAACTTATCGACAGTACCGCATCTTTTACTTCGGTCTGTATATTTATGAATTCTTTTTTTCACGGTTTCGTTTTGCTCTTATGTTTGTCCGGTAAGAAAATCCCTGTCTATGTATAAAAATATGTCTGCTCTAAAACGCGGTCGAATTTGATTTATCGCTTATAAGCGTGCATGTGTTTCATACATATTATACGAGTGTGTATGCGGAAACAGCATCAGCATCGTACGCGCGACCAATCGCCAGCGGTTTTTCAAAGTCAATAACAATGAAAGAGCGTCGAGGATGTATACAATATGTAACCATGGCGCAGCAATCTATACTTTTTCTATATACGGCACTAGTTGGAAACTGCGACAAGCAGCAGCAGTAAAAATCGTTTGATGTGGTATACGTCGTAATGGAGCAAGAAAGCTTCGGCGCTACATATTATTATATACGATACGTAATAGTTTCAGCTGCGAACGCGCGGGGGGTGTGAGGAAGCTTAAAGCCGATGATCAGGACGATGTCACGTATAGACCGTATATATACATCGACGCCCGGCGAGTAATATAACGCGGAGGGTGTTCGTGTATGTACGGCTCCGAGATACGCTTGGGTAATCAAGCGACCGACACAGCCAACACGCGTTACAGCGTAGAAGCTAAGTAAGTATGTGTGTAAGCAAGAGAGAAATAGAGAGAGAGAGACAATTGAGAAAGAATCACTTGTCTAGAAAGTGTACATGGAAAGGGGGGAGCGCATAGGATACATACTCGGGCACAACAAAAACGAACGCCCAGCCACGGGGGGTGAGAGAGAGACAAGCATTAGAAATTAGCTTTGCACTGAAGAATCATTATGATAGGAAACAGAGCGACGATGAGAGAGTCAAGTGCAATTTTTTTTTCTTTCGTCAAATGTTCCGTGTCCGATGGATGGATGGGTACACGCAGTTCCTACATTATCATTACAATGAATCATTTTTCTTTGACATCAGCAGTCGCCAAATTGCACGTGGTGTTACATTTTCCATTCGGAGCGAGACTTACAAAGTCCTTTTAGATTTTCAATTCTTCTAATACCATTTGTACATCAATTATTTGACATTCTACATTTTACGGTAGACAGCAGCTAGTGATAGTTCGATTTTTCGATTTCAGAAAATTCGTACGACGCATGATTATTATATGAATCCTTATAATTTTTTTAACCGCGCTTTGACTTATACATTTATTTTCACTTTGCCTCTTGCAGATTTACAGATAAATGTATTCGCCATCTAGTGGTGGAGACTAACATCAATTATAATTTAATATTTTGTGCAATTTATATAAAACAATGCATCGGCATTTATACTTTAATTTTCAATCGGAATGTTTGAATTTGAGTTAGAAAAATTTATATAAAATTTATATAAAATATTTTATTTATATGTACCTAAAATAAAACTCATGAGTTAATTTAAATTAATTTAATTTCAATATGTCTGATTTTATATTGAATATACATTGAATTTAAGGTTTTTTTAACAGCGATTATTTTTCAACGCGTTTTACTCAATAAGATGAAAAAACAATCCAGAGATTAACGAGAGATTTTTGTTTCAGGAGACTTACTACGGAGTGGTGGTGAAAAAGGATTGGTTCAGGTTCGTTCCCGTCGTATGCAATAAAAATGAGGCGAACGTGGAAAAACTTCACAATCAAGATGGATGGGTGAGTTTCTACCTCAGTAATAATGAACAGATTGATATCGATGACAATTTTATAATTTTTGACGATTATTTACCTATAAATTGGATATCCTAATTTTTTAAATAAAAATCATACAAAATAATTGTTATAGTACGGCAAAGTAAGATAAAAAAAATTTCTACTGCAAAAAGGCGTACTGCTGAGCGAATCTCGATGCATTTAATAGATGTACACTGGAAGAAGCTCAGCAGTACAACCTTTATTTGCGAATAAAAGTTTTTAACATTATAAAGTTTCATTAACGAAAGCATTCCCTGTGTGGATGTAAGTCAGGACGTGAGTGGTAAAATAATAACGCTCGACCTCCCGGCTAAATTCCAAAAGTCGTATACGCGGCGAAGCGATTTTAACTGATTTCGCATATGTTGCGCGTCCCGTGAGCGAATTGCTGCATACCCCATGCGTGTACTGGAATGAACATTCCACGCGTTTATAAGCCAAGCAACCCCCCCGCGAGTGCGAGCGATCGACGACTTCCTGGCGTACTTTGGAATCGATTGACGCGCCCGAGCTCCAAAACGGATGTCTTTCCCGTTCGTGGCCGAAATTCGCCGCGCTCGATTTAATCTCCTTCTATAACGACAAAAAAATATCAATCGAATCACGAAATGAAAAATCATTGTTTTAATTGACTCCAACAGGGATATTATTTGGCGAAGAAAACGATATACGCCGGCGAAGAGCTGATCTCGTACGTGGCGCCGGGACAAGAGCAAGAACAACAGCAGCAACAACAGCAACAACAGCAGCGACAGCGTCAGCAACAGCAACAGCAACGGCTGACCGAGGACGAAAACACCAGCGAGTTCGGTAAGTCGAGTGAGCGTAAGCTGTTACGAGTCTGAGGTTGGACGTTTTTGCTTGTACATAATATTGCGGCGCGTCAGGTGCGCACGCGGGGGTGAATTTATATGTATAAATCGGAGCGGCCGTGGGTTGCTCGTCATGCCTCTCTAACTTCGTGATTCACCTGGCCCCTTTTGTGTTTGTGTGTGCATGTGTTTGTGGATCGGTTTTAGGATAGCCGTTGAAAATTATCCAACAATAACGCCATTATCGCTTTCTTTTTTGTTTAGCTAGAACGTTGACTTTTTGGTACGTGTTCAACCCTCGATTAAGCTCTTTCTTTCTCTTTCTCTATGCTTTGGGTATGCTTGTAACGTTTTTATTTAATTAAAGATAAGACGAGGGGAGGGCCGAGAGATGCGAATGCGTTTAACGACGCCCATAAAAATTAATCTCGAGCGAGAGTCGCATGGAAAAAGTTTTTCGTTCGTGAAAAGAGAGACATGATTTTCACACTCTCTCTCTGTTGTTTCTCGCGTGCTCACAGTTCAGCTCGTGAATCGTCTTTATATCAATGATAGCCAGCTGTCGTGGTAATTAAAACTCGGGTTTAATAATGCTTCGAGTAAGAGAAAGGGAAAGTGAGAAACTTTGCAAACTTATACGACGACCAAGTTTCTCCGCTGCTCCGGTAGGCTGTAAAGTAGTACACTAGGCACTACGATAGAGCGAGTTCGCCTCGTGCATGCTCATCGCTCGCGACGACCTTTTCTCACCCTTCGGGCAATATCGCAGCGCGGATGAGTTAGTTAATTAGAAATTCCGATAATTTACCAATTCCGGGCTATCGTTCGTGCTCGCTGCCCTAGACAATTTTGCAGACAGAAATATCGCGAGCGTGGCGCGATCGGACGAGTCTCGGGGTGTGCAAAAGTTCTCGGCGCAAAAATGGTAAGAATTACGCACCGGGAGTTACGAGGTTAATTAAGTCACTGGCAGAACGTAAACCAGAGTGGGCCGTGCGCGACTTGCACACAGACACCCGAATAATCGTGTAAAAATTAATTAAAATGAGTCACGCCCTCGACACGAAACAGGGATAATAAAAAAGTCACCGATGAAAATTAGCATCTCTCAATGCGGCTGCAACACTGGAACACGCAATAATAGAAGAGAGAGAGAGAGAGAGAGAGACCCGCAAAAGTACACATACGTTATACTGCAACAAAGAAGAGAATCGAAAGAGAACATAATACAAAAACCATCGTTACCAACACAAACCAGCACCAATGGAGCACACCGCACATACGAACGCAGATACACACGCACAGACACACGGACGCAGACGCAGCAGGAATCAAAATCTATTGGGCATATAATGCAGGCATGAGCGCGCGGCATGCTGCGGCACACGATGTAGAGAAGCCGAGAATAACACGCAGCAGAGAAAAGGATGTGTCAGGATCGCAATGGGAATGATGATGTCAAACCAGAGAGAGAGAAGAAAGAAAAGGCAGTAGCATAGAATTGTCGCCGTGTACATTTATATATAAAGTCGTGTTGCAGCAACCCTTGCAAAGAGCGCGCGGCTTTCACATTATATATAGAGAGAGACAGACCCAAAGAGCAATAATATAATGCGCGAGGTGGTGCGATAGGGGGAGGAAGGGGGTGAGAGGGGTGGGGGGCATCTGCGATGCTGCTGCTGCTGCTAAAGGGATTTCCATGTCCCTTTTATGGGTCCAGGTTGTAGCCGCCGCCGCCGCTGTGGGAGGGATTCGGCGTCATCATCGTACAGCCGTCAAGCAAAAAGGAGAGAATTATTTTAACGCGAGCGAGTGCGCGCCTCCTTCGGCTTGTGCGCATATATACGGGGGTGCCTCGAGTCTGCAGTCACACGTATACACACTCGGGTTCATATTATACATAATATTTCGCGCGCGCAGCCTACTTATTGTATTCACGCATCTCTTTGTACGGGTTATTATATTGGTCGGCTTTAAACTCACACACACACACGCCTTCGTGCATATATTTCACAGGATGCTGCGCTCGGCTACATGCGCGTACCAATTTGATAATACAAAACGAGATGTTTTTCCATTAATGTATCTGTCGCGTTTATATACAAAATAAAACATCTGTCTCTGCGCGAACACGAGTATTCTTACATTATGCCGCACAATTGTGTAACTCTGATTGACTCGTCTGTCTCGTCGAATTACAAGTACATAAACGCACATTGTCGATTCTTGCGATATTTTTTGTTTACCGGCTATGCTACATGCTGCAAACGAGATCGTGCGTGAATATGAAAGTATACGGCATTTTTTCGTATCCGTATAAAATTCGTTGCAGTTCGCTCCTTACCTCGCTGGACATTTATAATTGGGCATGAAAAAAAATCCGAGCTCCGATTGTCGAACACCCCTTTTGGGACGAAATAAAAAATCTAAAACAGTTTAGCATGACTTATTATTTGGGTACCGGCACATTTTTTTCCTCTCTCTCTCTCTCTCTGTCTTTTTTTCTGGCTACAGCAGCACAATTACCGCAACGATGCACAGTGGCACGAGTCTCACGATAGTCATTTTTTCGGTTTATCTCTCCGCGCCTGCCTCTCTCCTAACGTCTCTATTAGGCTTTTCGATATAATTTATGACTCTTTGGCGCCGATTAGCAGTAGTGGAGCGCGCGCGCGTGTGCCAACTACTGCAAGTAAGGCTGCGGCAACAAAAAAAAAAATCCAGCTCTGCTCGCATGTCTCTGTAATATGTGTGCTGTATGTGCAGTCAAAGAAGAGAGAGAGAGAGAGGAGCAAAAAAAGGGTGTATCACCGCCGCCACCGTACGACGTATAACGCGTACACACCATCGAACAATGGGCTTATAGGCAGCACGCGACACTTTTATCTCCTTTTTTTTTAATAGTTCGTGTTATAGAGGGTGGTGTGTGCGAGCAGCGAGTTAGCTATAGAGAGACAGAGAAATACAACTCGTTGTTGTTGTAACCCCATCTGATTCATCGGCGAAACGGCGTCTAATGACACGACTATTTGGCGTTTAGCCTCGCTTATATGCACGCACGCGCGTGCACCGCCGCCGCCTTTGCCGCGTCGTGTCATCTGTACACACATTCAGGCAGACGCACACAATACGACGCTTTATTATATCCAGGCGTGTTTATTAGGAGATTTATGTTGCACATTTTTCATCCTTCTCGTCGTCGTGCAAAACGATTTCATTTCGCGATGTGCGTATGTGTGTGCATTGTACGGGTTTACGCGCTCGCGTTAATAAATACGAATCTCGTATTATATACGTATAACGTAGCAAGCATTCGAAATAGTATAAACGCGCGATGTGCGTACTACGAACGCAATCACAACGAAATTTCTCACGTTCGGACTGTTCGCATTCTCTCCTTTTTTTCTATTCTAATTAAGAGTCAAAAAGGAGACATCGTTATTACGCTCGCTCGCATCGAACACATGTCGCACGCCTTGCTTCGTTTGTCCTAGCACACAAACACATACATACAATTATACATTTGACGAAGGTGCACCATTACGCATCATATAGTACGCATAATGTAAAAAGACGACGGCAAAAAGCAACTTAAATTGCACCTGAAGTGCGCGGGCATATACTTGCGAGCCTATACACCGCTATTAATTTCTGTTACTTTTTCCCATGCGAATGTACCCTCACCGATGGGGACGTCGTCGACTTGGCCCTATACGTGGAGCGGCGCACACAGTACGCCCAAGTGTGTGCCGCGCCGCGTCGCCGCTGCAGGGGGTGTCTAGAAGTGGATCCCACCTGTTGACTTTCTGTATACTTCGCATAGCTCGATCGCTATAACTCGCACGCATTTTCATACACATCGCGCGTAGCATATGCACACATACTTATCTTACTTGTCCGCTCTGGTCTTCGAGATCGATCTGTGAAATTAACATAACATTGTGCATCATTACCGCTGTATACGTCCCTCATCTGACGATGATACGATAACGACATCGACTGTACGAAGCTTAGTAAAACTCCTAGTCATTCCGAATTGGGTTAATGCTTGTTCAAATCATAGAAAGTACAATTGAAAGAATGAATGAGATTTATTAGTGAGCACAGGCAGAGACTCGATGCAAGAGAAGTCGATCATATTCGACATCCCATTGTCCGGGAAAATAAAAAAGGAAGAAAGGTAACAGCGAACCTAATGATGGCATCATTAAAAATAAATGTGTGCGCGCAGTCGTCGTGGTTTTCGGTCTTGACGCGCAACGTGTATGTACAAGAGAGTAAGTGAGGGGAGAGGGGGGGTTAAAAGTCAAGACTCCGCTTGGTGGTCGGTTCCCATGAACGATTCGTTGGGGGTATACGTGTGCACGACACGACTCGGCCGTATAAGTATCCACCATATGGCTAAATATATAGAGAGGGTAGCAGCGATCGCGGGCAACGTCGTCGGCGCGCCAAGTGTGCAAGTGCCGGGAGATTTAAATAACCGTTGGAGAAAAGGCGCAAAGATCGGAAACGACCGCACGAGCGCACTTCCTCCCTCCGAGTTGTTTGTTGTTGCGCGCGCGCGTCCCCGGGTAGATAGTTAATTCGACGTCGAAGCGAGAGTTCGTTTTTTGTTCTTGTTTAAACGATTTTTCTAACGTATATGAATTTTTTTGACTGTTTGATTGTTTCCGGTCACTGGTTTTTACAAATCACCCATTGCGATCCGATTGATATTCTGCTTTTTGAAACAAGTGTTGCAAACCAAAGCTTATCAGAAATTAATTAGTTTTATTCTTTCAAAGATGGGGACTACTCTTCCCGATGAAATTTGTTACTAATCGAATCTCATCAATATAAGTAGCATGAAAAAGACAGTTGACTGTTGCGATTAAAACAAACACGCCAACGTGTTATAGCATCGCTAAAGAGAGTCAAACAGTCGAAAAGCCAAACGAACTTTCGCACGATTGTTATTCCTAAGGCAGTAATTCAAGTGGTCGGGTGGCAGCCGTCGCACGGGCGAAGCCGCACGCGATGTGCGTTTACCTGTGTGTGTATGTGTATGTGTACATGTGCCGCGCTATCATATACGCGCGTCATGCCCTCTTACTATATATTATACAGGTATACACACACACTCACACATGTGGGAAGGTGTAGGAAAGACGAAAGGCGCTTCGCGATGGCACGATATACACATGTGGGTGCTTTATAAGCTGGTGTGATTCGTAAGTAACGACCCCCTTCGAAGCATAAGTACTATCCCTCGTTGCTCGACTTCCGACTTCCACCTGCGCCGTTGCCGCCACCGCCGCGTATAATACTGTACTGTCCTCGACGTGAGCGACCTGCTGCTACAACTCGATGGGACATACATTGCCCACACACGTACATGTATGGTATAGTTTCACCCAAAACTCAAGAGCAGCAAGACAGAGAGAGATAGGCGAAAGACAGAGAGAGGGAATGGCTCTGGGTAACGATTGGTCGAGTAGTGCTCGAGTCGGCGCAAGATAATTATTTCTCGATGTAACGGGGGGAGGGGTAAAGAGGATTATATTTTGACCGGACTGGCTTTCAAAGTGATCATTCGACTGCCGGATCTCTTGGCTTGCGTAGCGGATGAATTTGTCGAGTGCAGCTTCTTCTTTTCTTAGAATCGATTAGTGTTAGAGCAGTAAGTATCCTGGTCGCGGTACACCTGAAACAGAATATAATCGTTGTTAAATAGTGTTACTTTGTGTGGGTTCATACAAAAATTCTTATAAAATGAATCAGTGTTCTGAAGTGAATTTTAACGACGAATTATCTATTGTGTTACAGCGTCTCAACATAGTGGTACGTCGCATGCGGATGATGATCGTTATGACGATTTAGAGTTACCAGTTGTCATAAAGTGTGCCGTGTGTAACAAGTCATTCTTCGACATCGAGGTGTAAGTATTTCATTTATCAATTTTTACAATTAATTTTCATTATGAAATTTCAATTTCTTCGCATTTTTTATTCTTTCTGTTTTTAAATTATTTTATTAGCTATTCCAAGCCGATATTTTTAAGTTCATACATATGATTTCGGTACAATGTATGACAATGAATAAATAAATATAGATAAACAATGCAAAACCATATAAAATAATCTCATTAGTATCTTCTAACATATAATTTTCAATTTTGCGTGACGTCTCATCTAATTAATATTTTATCAAAAGAATCTTCCTAAATATAATCAAAATAGAGTATAACTTAAAAGTTGAAAAAAATATTATAGATATATCATTCAGTACGATTTATTAAATTTTAATCGATAAAAAAATCTCGGCTTTGTTTTGTTGAACCAAAAGCGTCACTCGGGTAACTAACTCACCCCTATATTATTTTTTCCAACCCGAAATGATAATTCCCCACGATCAAAAAGTCAAATCGTAGATCGTCGATTGCGCCGCGCTCAAATCGTGCTCAATTAACGTTTGAAAAAAAATAAGGGATATATATTACGACGCGATGCGACGACGCCCTTTTCTGCGGACAGACTGAAAAACGTCGATTATTAATTACCTACCCCGAGCGCGCGATGACGATCGAAGGGGTTTTTCGTGCGACGCCTATCTCTGCACGAAATCTCGATGATATAACCACGTGAGTTTTGCATTATCCAGCCATTTGCAGTCCGTGACACGTGCGTGTGTGTGTCCTTTGACCCTTCGTTTGTATTACTTTTTATCTTCATCCTACGTTTAGTTGACTTTTTTCGGTCTGATTTATTTCTTTTTGTCGACGTCATTAATTAATGATTGTTTGCACAATTAAACCAGCAAGATATCTTTGTATTATTAAATTCGTAGTGCATAAGATAATTGTCAACGCATAATATAAATTCGCGAAGTCAAAGAAAAAAAGAGTTCGGGCGTATGCTTCTTCGAATGAGCAGACATACGCACGTGCTTCTTTATTCGATCGGGTAAAAAACGATTCTTAAACGCGCTCCTTGCGTCGTACAATATTCTTCGAGTTAAAATTAAAAAGTGACCTGAGCAATTTGTCACTTCAATACGTTTCGGCGAGCTATCTAAAAAGGCCATGGTGTCATCTCTCGAGGGGATATTAGTATATGTTAGATAAATTGCTTGTTTCGAAACGGCTTTTGCACCCTCTGCTATCGTTGCCGAATTATAAACTAATATACGAACGTCGATATATGATACTACGAAAGTTGAACTCATAATTTTTAATCAATTTCAATTGTCTGAGCTTGTAATATTTGCAGTGAGATTCATTGTCTGATTAAACATTGAAGAGCTTTGATAATATTTACTAGCAATTAGAACTCTTTTATCTTTCGGCGCATTTGTTTTAAAAAGAAAAAGATACCACACGAAGAAACGTATCAATAATGGAAACTTTATTGGTCCGATAATTATTTCAATTCGTTTCGAAGCGCAAAGGATTCACCTGTTGTTAATTGTTTCTCGACTATCGTTCTCGAGTCTCGCGCATATTTTCGTCGTATATAATACCTATCAACCCCTCGGTGCATAGCGCGCTCACCAGGCCGTTATTCATCGGTCGAGCTCGACTGCGTATGCGTGTTCGACGCTCATCGTCTTCTTTCGGCAATAATGACTTTCGCGCCCTCGACCCCGCCTGAATTACAATTGCTCACCCCTCCCTGCCTACATAGCAGCTAATACGTAACGTATTTATATCGCTAGCGTGCATGCAATTAGAATATAATCTGATTTTTATCGTTGCAGACTCAACAGCCATCTCATCACGAAGCATCGATACCCCTCGGGCGTGCACAACTGCAAGAGCTGTCCGGCCGCGTACGCCTGGCTGCCGCTGCTCGTTCGGCACCGAGTCGTCGCCCACGGCGACGTGCGCAAGTACTGCTGCGAGAACTGCACCAAGGTAAGTCGGAGCGATCCCCGCGCGTCGCAAAAAACCTCTATCTATCTATACTCTCGAGCTTTACACCCTTGTACTTTCAATCTCTCGCTAAACAGCCGTGTGACTCGCCGCAGGTCTTCACCGACGCCTCGAATCTCCAGCGCCACATCCGGAGCCACCACGTGGGCGCCCGCAGCCACGCGTGCTCGCAGTGCGGCAAGACCTTCGCCACGAGCTCGGGCCTCAAGCAGCACGCCCACATACACAGCAGCGTCAAGCCGTTCATCTGTCCGGTCTGCAAGAAGTCCTACACGCAGTTCTCGAATCTCTGCCGGCACAAGCGCATGCACACCAAGTGCCAGACCCCGATAGTCTGCGACAAGTGCAACGCCACCTTCCAGACGACCTCGCACCTCACCAAGCACAAGAAGTGCTGCGGCACCTTCCCCTCGCTGCAGTCGCCCCAGCAGCAGCACCAGCAGCACCACCAACAGTCGGGTCAGCTTCCTCCGTCGGCGCAGCAGCAGCCCGCCGGGGTGGCGCCGCTGCCGCAGCCACCGAGCGACACCAACATGCAGACCAATCCCTTCCTCTATCCAGGACAGTCGCTCTTCCCGCACTTCTATCCGTCTGATTTCATGAACTATCAATCGAGCAGCTTGTTGCGCGACTACTCCATGCACTGCTTTCAACCCAAGATCGACGGCTTACTGTCGGCGACGATGGACAGACGATTTTTGGAAACGACTCAGCAGCCGCTCAAGCTCGAACCGAAACGGGAGGACGATCCTCGACAGCAGGATAGTCAGACGCCGCCGCGAATGATTCCGCCAACCAGTCAGGAGCTGCAGGTCTCCAGCAAAGTGTCGCCCAGCGCCGCGGAAGAGGCGACCTCGAGCTTGAGACCGTCGCCGGCGAGACCACCGGCGTCCCAGACCGAGCGCGAGCACGAGCGTTCGCGTAGCTCGGAAGAGGAGGAGGAGCCAAGAATAAAGGCCGAAATAAAGGCCGAAGTCAAGGCCGAAGTGAAAAATGAATCGTCCGATTCGCCGACGGAGCTACCGTTGGATCTCAGCGTGTCGAAAAAACACCAACACGAAGACGACGACGAAGATAAAGAGTACGAGGTTAAAGACGTAGTTAAGAGAAGAAGGACTAGCTTCGAATCCGAAGTAGAAGAACGACGCAGCGATGCAAAGTCGGCGTCGCCCCAACCGACCACGACGAGAAAGATCGATCCGGAGTCGCCGATAGCTAGATCTAGATCGTCGCGAGAAAAGACACTGTCTCCCGATATCAAAAATACCCCTGTACATAGCAGCAGCAGCCCGCTACGGCCGAGCCAAGAGAGGACGCTGACCCCGCCCACGCTGTCGCATCACGAGGCAGCGCTGGCGCCGCACATGGTCTATCCGAAACCCGTGCACCACCCACTGTTCCTCGAAAACATGTACCGTAACCAGTCGGTGAGTCAGTTTCCCAATTTCTCAGCGGCGACGAATCCTCTGCAGACCATGCAGGCGTACGGTCGTGGCTTGCCTTTTCTAGGTCCCTTCGGCAATGGCTTCGGCGCGCCGCCGAGGCCCAATTACTCCGCCGTGCTTCAGAGAGCGCCCACGGCCGCCTCGGCTTACGGCTCGTTCGCTGCCGACGCGATGATGGCCGCGGCCGCGGCCCGCCACCAGCCGCAGCAGCATCATCATCAGCAGCCGCCGCCCGCCCTCTTCTCGAGCGCCGTGACGCAGAACCGAGTGCGCGACAGATACTCGTGCAAGTTCTGCGGCAAGAATTTCCCGCGCTCGGCCAATCTCACGCGGCATCTGCGCACCCACACGGGCGAACAGCCCTACAAGTGCAAATTCTGCGAGCGCAGCTTCAGCATCTCGAGCAACCTGCAGCGTCATGTGAGAAATATACATCACAAGGAGCGGCCCTTCGAGTGTCAGACGTGCAAGCGATGCTTCGGCCAGCAGACGAATCTCGATCGGCATCTGAAAAAGCACGAGGCCGAGGACGGTACGATGGTGGCGTCGGTGGCCGACTCGGCCGAGAGCAGCAACGAGAACGAGCGCGACGAGTCCGCCTACTTCGACGAGATACGCTCGTTCATGGGCAAAGTCACCTACAACGGCGGCGCCGGCGGGGGAGCTCGCAACGAGCCCTACGACTTCACTCCACCGCACCAGCAGGCGGCCCACATACCCAGCGCCAACGCGAGCTTCGAAGCCGCCGCCGCGGTGTCGTCCAAGATCGCCGACAGCAGCATCGTCCACGACGACAGCAGCGAGGATGCCCTGTCGCCCGAGGCCACCTCGCCGCAGCGCTTCGATCTGCAGATCGAGGGCAAGCGAGAACTGTTGAACAACAACATGGTTGAGCCGGTTCTCGGCGTGTCCACATAGTTAAAGCATCGTTTTTATTCTGCTTTTTCTCTTTGGCCGTGAAAATGATTCCAATGTTAAAAGGCTTGACACCGTGCTCGACACAAATCATTGTTACTTAACTGATAAGTTGATGTGTATGCTGTGAGAATTATATAAAATATATGTAAGCAGTATGCGATTTTATGCTTCGTCTGTCCCGTACGCGGATTGGTAATTTTATTTATGTATTATATGAATTTTTTTCCGACAATAGGAGGGGGAAAAATTGTTGATATTTTGATGACCGGTCAACTTTTTAAAATTGTATCACATCGCCAATCTAAGAAGTTTTCAGAATTTCATTACTTCATGTTACATAATTCACGTGAGAATCAATGAAAAATTGTTTGCGACAATGCGTGGAGTGAATCGAAAACTTTAAACACATAGTATAGTTTGATGTGTATGTTATCATTGATATAAAAATTGTTATTAGTTATTAGTTTAATAAAGAAAAATTAATGATCGTTCCTGATAAACGACTGAGTTATCTTATAGTTCATTTTAAACGAAAAATTAGACGAGGATCAACAATCTTCAGGAATAAAAAACAAACTAGTATTGCATTGGCTAAACGATTCGTTATTCAAAATTAGATTAGTCAATTGAAGCCAAAGCATCGAATGAGTAAATAATAAAAATCGAACGAGTGGAACGTGTAAATTAGTTATGTAATAATCGATTCATCTTTTAAGGTCTCCGGAATGTACAAAGTTTTAAAATAATGCGTTAAAATAAACCGCGATTTTTGTAAAAAGTTTACGTAGTTTTTAATATTAATGACTATAATATACGTTATGATAACAATTACAATAATTATATGATTATAATTAAACAATATTTCATTAAAAGTGTAAGAATCATCTGAATGAAAATGTGAATACTTTTAAATCATTAATAGAAGCGTAAGATGTTATCGAATTTGATTGAAAAAAGTATCATATCAATTAATTGTCGTAGCGCAATTATAAGGTGCAAGTTTTCATCGTGATTCAACTATGTAATAGTTGTAAATTTTATGAATCAGCACCGTATTATTAATCAACATAAGGAACACAGAGAATAATCGTGATTAAGAAATTTTACAATAATATAATACAAAGATATTATAACAATTTATTCATTCTCACCTATTATTTCAATGATTTTATATCGATTCTTTATGAAAAAAAAAAAATATTTGTAAGCAATTTCAACGTTGCACACATTTCCAAAACACAAGCATGTACATGTTATTAACATCATAGCTCTTTACCTCTTTTCCTCTAAAAGTCAGCGTATTCTTACTAATTGCGTAAGCATAATGACACTTATAATAATGATGTAATGAATATTATTATCTATAAATATTGTATAGAAAACTCATAATTCAATCATTAAAAATTCTGGTATTATAAAATAAATTTTTTTCATGATTTTTATTTATGCCTATTTACCTCCAATAAAACTTTAAAATTATAACAACAATAAAATTTATAATTTTAAATAATTCCTAACTTTAAAATAAATTGAGTGTTAGCTAGCTAGCTTCTCAGTTAATTTATCGAAACCCGGTGTATTTACAAATATTTTTATTGTCATGTACAAAACGTGATTGTCAATAATTGAGATCTAGAGAACAATTTTTTTTTAAATAGCGTCAAATATAAGTTATTACGTGTTTGGATGTATTACACATTTTTAAAGAAACTGAATCGGACTTGTTGTGTCGATATTTATTTTAAGAAAGAAAACGAATAAATGCACCCACCACTAATGAAATTTAAACTTGACATTTAATAATATCTGCATTGATTGTTTGCATGGAAGGTAGTTCAATTAGCATCAAACTAATTAATTAGCATGTTGCATGCAATGTAATATAATTTTTATTGGTCCATCTCTGAGGATATATGTCTAATGTCTATATAATACTGTGATATAATACTGTGAGTATCCTGATGTATTTCTTACGTGCAGTGCTGACACCTGGATATCCTTGCATGCAAGTTAAACAAGTAAAAGTTGCCGGTAATACCAACTGCGGACAGTTCGTAACTCTTTCCATCGTTTACAGATGGCGTTCTTATGAAAGTTTTACGCGTCCCCATGTCATTCGCCTCCATAGCTCAGGGGTTAGAGCACTGGTCTTGTAAACCAGGGGTCGAGAGTTCAAATCTCTCTGGAGGCATTTATTTTACATGTGATCAAGTACATCCATTTGAGTTTGCCGATGAAATCCCTGAAATCAATCTTCACAGGTTCAGTCATTCAATAAACCTAAACTGTTAAACGAGATATGACTTTTGTCTAAATACTTTTATTTAGACCTAATTTGTTTTTCGTATGGCAATCACATCTTCTTCTTAACTAAAAAAAAGGACAAAATTCTATTTTTAAACAAAACCATAAAAAAGGTTGGATCAGCCTGCAACCCATTCTAGTACTGATATCTGTGGAATTTTCATGAAAGTGCACACACGTATATGAAGTAACTGCATCGCGGCTCGACCAACACGCGTTTGCATAAGCTTGTCGCGGGTGCTCTCGAGCGAGCGATACAAACCCGATACATAATGGAATTAAACGGCGGAATGTAAAGAATCGCGCGGCGAGCGCGGACGGGGCGGAGCGCGCAGGCCTCCGAACAAAAGCGATATTCTCGTCACTTTCGCGCATAGCATAGCTCTATGCGCGCTCGTTGGCCACAGCATCTCGCGCGCGAACGTATATATGCAGGCGCGCAGCGGATTATTTGTACATCCACTCGAGGCGCGATGAGGCAATATTGTAACGCCCCAACGAACATTATTACCAACCAGTTGAGAGGTTTTGACAAAAAACCAACACAACAGGCAGGCCGCAGCCACCGATCGCGAAATTCCATCATGGTTTATTATGCATCGACGAGCTGCTATCGCGCGCGCACTCGGGAAATTGCCGTCAAGCGCGTCCGCTCTATCTAGCTTTAGAAAGTCACAAAAAACGCCGATTTTTATCGTCTGCTCAATTAATATGAATTTTGGACTTTTTTCAGTAATTATTGATTGAATTTTTTATATGCTTCACTCATTCGATTTTGGCTATTATATAAAGATTTCCAACAGGACTATAGAATATATTATTATTGTTTCGCAAGTTTACAAAATGTAAATCACGACGATTAATACAATAGAAATCGGTAGTTTGATGCTTGATGTAAGTATGTGCAGGGTAAGAAAAAAAATCCAATTTCTTCTCTGATCTGCGAGGCGTGAACGATCAAAGATACAAGACCCGTAAGGATCGATATCGTTCGTATTCCATCGCGAGCAAGATGATAGATCATTTCTTTTGCTTCTGCAGCTTCAGAAAGATTATGACTGCGCGCGCGAGAAGAGAGAGAGAAAATCGAAAGCACCTGTCGTTATTTATATGTACAAGGAAATTCGAGCATAAGCGCGCACGCGAGCTCCAACGTAAAGGAAAAGTGACTATGTATATTACTGAGAGTCGGAGGAAAAAAGGAGTAAAATAAATGAAAAAAAAAAAAAAAAATGATTAGGAAAAGTGAATGGTGAGCTGCAAGTATAGATGTATACGCATTGGCTGCCTCTTCCATATGCATACGGTACGAACGTACAGAAAATATACGTATGGATCATCGGGCGGGCAAATTAGCATACTCCGCTGGAGAGCCGACTAGACCCACCGGTCGAGATTGCGCTATATATACATTACACCGCCGATCGATCGTTCTCTTTTTCTTCTTTTTCACCGCGTGTACTTAACCGCAGCACAAGTTGCGTCTCCTCTCGTTTCAACGCATGGCCGCATATGCGCATACGATATATGAATATTTACACGTATGTTTGTACAACCACATATGCACACCCACTACGTACTGCGGTGGTTGCACTTTTCTCCTGATCGTGCGGTGGCGACTCGCTAATCTGCTTTAGATATCGTCGCAAACTTCACAAAGTTTCTCGCGCATCGGATTCACTTTCGGAAAGTGAATGGGATGCCGGTTTTTTTACTTTTTTCTTTTTTTTTTCTTACGTATTATCTCGAGTGCAGAATTTACCGAGGACACGTGTCGTCGTTTAGTCAAACAAAACGTCCGTAATAGTCTTCATCAATTTAACGCAACACAGCACTCGCGTGTAGCACTGCAACGCGTGTACAACGTGTGAAGCACGATCGCGATAAATCGTCACGCATATGTACACAAAGCAGCGAGTCTAGAGCTCTGTGACTTGTGCGTACAAAAAAAAAACACAACTACAACATGTGTGCATTATACGCACACTATGCACAGAAGCGCCTACACCTAACGCGGAAATTACCAGCGTTTATGAATGTGGGAGATTTCTGCGAGCTTCGTCGTTATGTTTTATTATAAAGATGAACGAACAATGGCAGTTTTCTCACGTGCGCATGCATGTACGCATTCGTGTAGCAATCGGAGAGTAAACCAGAGAGGGAGGTAGTTAAATGGAGTAAAAAGTTTATTCAGTCAATGGTCCCGATGGGCAAAGACCAGCATATATAATTCACTAAAAGAAGAGTCAGCGATTATATATTCTATAGCGTGTAAATCGTTTTGTACTCATTCTCGTATTACTTTCTCCCCTCTTCCTCTCTCTCTCTCTCTCTCTCTCTCTCTCTCTCTCTTCCTCTCTTTCCCTCTCCCAAGACATACAAACTTTGGCGCGCTACTATGCATTTATAGAAAGCAATAAAACTACCCCGCACATACCAATGAGGAAGTTTACTCTCTTTCTCCGACTCCTTCTCGAGCAGTAACACAATGCGCGATTTTTATGAATTTTTTTCACCGAATTAGCAGTTTCACTTGCATTTTTCTCGGCGTTCTTCGCTATTGCGATGCAAATGCGTCGACGTAATTTTTCGAAACGAGTTTCTGTTGCGTCCATATGCATCATACACCTTGCCACAATTTCGCGAGAGAGAACCTGTTACATTGGGACGTATACAAAAACTACTTTTCAAATTTTCTTTTTTTTTGTATCCAGAAGCATCGATCTTAATGCAGAGAGACTGTGTATAACGAAGATAAACTGAATGATCGACTGGACGAGAAAAAGAACATAAGCTTTTTTTGATTCGCGATGGGAATTGTGCAACACAAAGATTCAAGCACGCACGAAGGCGGGCGAGAGCGGTAAATCCAATTTTTCGTTTTTGAAGCTCTCCGTGAGATGGACTTACCAACCAACCGCGACCTTAACGAAAGCAAAAGGCTCGAAAAGAATTTTCTACTTTCGAAAGTCAAAATAACGCGCGCGCGCGCGAAGCCAATCAAGCATTGGAAAGTACGAATCATCAACAAAGACGATAAGTGAGGTGCCTGATTTTTGTTGGTAAAAAAACTACACCACGTCGAATTGGTTCTGCGCACGCGCCAATTGGGTGAAACATGGTCAAATTGATTCTTATTAAATGTTCAATAACAATGTCATTACGGTCGCGCGAATGCGAATGAGTAAAAAATTCACTTTTTCAAATTACACGCAATAAACATAAAGTTGGCAGGCACATCTGAATTATAAGAAATAGTTTCACACGGCTCAAGCAGTTACTTAAGCAGTAAATTATAACAGTAGCCTAATAGCTTCTCCAGTCTGCGTCTAATAAAGTACAAATTCCTTCGAAGCTTCGATGGTGAGCAAATTTATTTATACATGCACACCCGAACAATTCTTCATATACGTACGTATGAGAGTACTTGTACATACGTATCGGGCAAGTATCGCAATCAACAATCGACTTGACCCCATAAAACAGACGTACACACAC